ACAAAGGCATTATCAGACATCCCACTCCTTAAAAAAAAAAGATCTCAACACAAAGTACAATATATATTACTTATTGGGTTGTTGTAGGTTTTTTTGGGCTATATGACCATGTTCTAGAGTCATTTTCTCCTGACGTTTCGCCTGCATCTATGGCAAGATTCTTCAGAGGTAAACTCAGAGGGAGGGGGCTGATCTAATATCCCTGGGGAGGGCGTTCCACAACCGAGAGGCCACCACGCCTGTCACGCCTGTTCATCATGTATGTATGTGATGTACTGCCAGTTCATCACACAAGAGAGAAAAAAATCCACTTTAAATTTGGTTTCTATCCTCCTGCAGAATTCTGGGGTTTGTAGTTTACTGAGGCTGTTAAGGGCTCCTCCCTAAACTACAAACCCCAGAATTCTGCAAGAGGCAGAAACTGGATTTTAAGTGGATTTATTTCTCAAGTGTGATGAGGCCCACCATACTTAATATTTGGGAATGATAAAATAGCTAATAATAATACAGTAATACGGTTTATTTATTTTATTATTTTATTGGATTTACATCCCAACTTTCTCCAAGAATGGAATAATAATAATAATAATAATAATAATAATAATAATGAACATAATAATACATTTGATTGATTGATTGATTGATTGACGATATTTCTATCCCACTTTTCTCATCCTGAAGGATACTCAAGGCGGCTTACAAATTGGCAGCAAAAATATAATTAAGAAGTTTGGTTCTATCTGATGACAATAAAGGGTGTAAGCTATGGTTTCTTGGTCTGTAGATGACCTTTGTGGCATCTTCATCTCTATGATACTTCATCTTGTTGATGGGAAGCTTCCCACCAGAGTGGAAATCATCTGTTAGACTGATGGCAAGTTATTTAACCTCAGCAGTCTGAAAGCTAAAACCAAGGTCACAACAACATCTGTTATAGAACTCCAATATGCTGATTACTGCATAGACCTACAAGCCTCATCTAAACACCTTTGCAGAAGCACATGAGAAGCACATTATAAAAATCCATACAAAAACCATTAATTTGTATTAATTTATTTTCTAGATTTATATTCCACCTTCCTCCCAGATTGGAATAACAATAGAACTCCAATATGCTGATGACAATGCCATCTGTGCATATTTAGAAGACCTACAAGCCACATCTAAACACCTTTGCAGAAGCATATGAGAAGCACATTATAAAAATCCA